TATTAGCTCTTGAAATAGCTTTCTTGCTTCTGAAGTTATGCTAAAGGGCGATTTCATGCGCGATAGGGGCATCATGTCGCATTATGCGCGATGAGGGCCATCGCGCCTAGTTCTGGACTTTCGTGGAATTGGGCTTCATTTGTATGTCTTTGGGCCTCTAACGAGCCTACTATATTTTATCCCGATCATAAGTAAATAAATAGGTTAAAATTTTTAAGGAGTAAGGTATCTCTTTTGAAAATATTAAAAATAAATTGAGTGGGAAGAGAAGGAGATTGAATATTTATGTAAGATTAATATTTATAAAACATATAATTGAATTTAGTATGTTATTTAATATATTATTTTAATTTTGAGAGAATTTTAAATTAATAAAAAAATTATAATATGTGATGTTACTGTTTTATTTTTTTGTAAATTTTATAGTTTTTAAATGCTCAAATTCAGAATTACTGATTTATTCATACAAATCATAAATAAATATGATAAATATGGGAGTGAATCTCTCTCATGTGTTATTTAATATGATGATATCACGTGAAAGAATCATAACTATATATAGATAAACCAGTGGTGATAAAAGAGGAGAGAAAAAATATATTGTATAAATAATTATAAAATTACTACCGTTGATTATGATTAAGATACTCTTACATGATATGATGATGTTGAATACATTCATTTTCCAATAGATATTCTAATCGTTGCCCCCATAGAAAATAGGCTTGCTTAATTTTGTTGACTTCACTTTTGTCCGAATGAGGCAGACTCATTTTGAAGGCTCGGCAGTTTGATTTAGTCTAACAAGAAATTAATTTGTTGACCGAATCTCTAATGTAGCTCTACTGGTCTGTTATAGTAAATAATTAGTTTTTTACTTTCATGGAAAACATGTTACTTAACCCTAATTTTTTTTTGGTAGTTTACTCAACCCTAATTTATCGTTTCTTTATGGAATGGAATCAACCGCTTAGTACTTTCCTATTATTAAAAGAAAATGTTATACTTGCTACATATTTTTCTTACTATTTGCTATAACCATTAGATTGACGGAAATCAACGGTTAAGATTTAGTAGTAACAAATAGTAAGAAAAATAAGTAATAAGTATAAACTCTCCCTTATTAAAAATGCTGTTTTTTTATTGTTATTATTCACAATTCAATTATTAAAATTTACCTAATTATTTAGTATGATGAAGTCGATTCTTAGTTTTTTTTTTTAGTTTAATTTCACATGCTGCTAATATAAATATATTTTTCATTATTGTATAATAATACATTGTTATATTATTCCATAATTATATAAAAAAATTTACCCTGCTAATATAAATAATTTTTTTCATAAAATAAATGAAAAAGTTAATTTTTAAAAGTTAACTTCTCACTACTTTTTTATTTTCTTTTATATAAAAAGTAAACAAAACTTTACCGTCAGCACAAATAGACATTGGTAAAGAATGTATGTAACTCTGACATTTCCCGTACTCATCACATATTAACTCTCACCTAAGTATTCTAGGCCGTTTGAATGAACTATTTTTTCTCTCTCAAAAAGTTATTTTTAAAAAAAAACATTTTTAAAAACAAATCTGTTTGAATGTCTTCTTTTAAAAAAAACAAAAATTATAAAAAAATAAATGAAAAACCTACTTCTTTTTTTAAGCTAAAAATTCTATTTCTAACACAATGAGATAAAAAAACAATGAGGTGTTATAAATAAAAAAAAAAAAAAAACAATGAGGCGTCTCTCAAACGTAGGGTTGGCAAAACGGGTCAACCCGGTCCGACCCGACCCAACCCGTTTTCAACCCGAAAAAAACGAACCGAGTTAGGATTGGCTCGAAAAAAAAACGAGCCCGAGAATTCAACTCAACCCAACCCGAGTCGGGTTAGGGTTGGCTCGCGGGTTGCTCAAAAATATGGCTCGTGGGTTGGCTTGAAAAAATAGCTCACGAGTTGGCTCAAAAATAGGCTTGCGGCTCGCGGATTGGCACATTTTCAGCCTATTTAAATGACCCTGTAGTATTAATGCACCAGCTATGTGGCTTCCATTAGCTTAAAAAATGTTACAAAATGAGAAATAAAAGCAAAATAGTTTAGTTTCGAATTTTCTTCACAACAAATTTGCATCAACAACCAGAAACGATCAGAACCACTTGCTACCAAGTGGGTAAGATATTTGAACCAGATAGAGCCAGCACAGCCTAACAATATACAAATGGCAGGGATGTGAGAAGATTAGGGACTGAGGTTTAGATAATGAAGACAACATGTGTGGGTTTTGTTCATTTTTCTATATTATATTTGTATTCTTTTATTTGAAAAAAAAACTCCACCCGCGAGTTGGCTCGTTTAACTCGCGGGTTACTTATTTTTTCACGGGTTGAAACGAGCCGGATTGACAGCTCTTTTTTGCCAACCAACTTAGCTCATTTTTGGCGAGTTACGACGGGTTGGCTCGTTTTTGGCAACCCTACTCGAATGCAACTACGGCACCTGATATCATATAGATATATAACCAATTAAGGATTGTGTCCCACTGTAAAGAATTAATTTAAATGCTGTAATTCACTGATAGCGATTATAAATAAGTACCTATATTTTAACAATCACGATCAGGCCCGTATATTTTATACAAAAAAAAAAAATCACGATCAGGCCCGTATATCCTTGACAACAATTATAAATAGAGCATGCATATTTTAATATCCACAATCAGCCCAATCCATGATTGACAGCAAGTATAAACAAAGTATAGGTAGTTAACAACCATAATCAGCCCCATTTATGCTTAACAATAAGGGATGTGTATTTGTAATTTAACACGACACAATAAATTTTTCTACACACATAACATTTTGTGGGGTCCACATTTTTTGAAGAAAAAAAAATTATGGCACGCAAAACGAATCTCTATAACATTACACAATCACTTTTCCTACAACATAACTCTTATAAAACCTTAACAATAATTATAAATAGACGACACATTTTTAAAAAACACCATCTCAGCCCCAATTTATACTTGAGAACACTTAATACGTCAATGCCACTCATGTAAAAGAACTTCCTTTAACTATAAATCACTTTTTTTTTAATTTAAAATTCAACAACGTGATTTATAATTCAATTTATTATTATTATTACTAAAATTAAAATAAAATTAATTATCTACCTTTTTGTGTTTTTATAATTTATTTAAAAATAAAAATGTTAAAATGTCACATGAAAAACTCATGCCAATGAAAGTAAACACATGATTAGAGTTTAAAAAGTGGAGAGGAATTTAGATAGATTATGTGTTTAATCTCCACTTATATATAAAAAAAAAAAAATTAGGATATAAGAATAGGACCTACCCGTACTATTGCTGTCTTTGCTTAGCAACTATTGGGATGCATGTTCCTGACCTATGAAGTACTGACACTTCAAAAATTCTGACGTGTCGTGTCTGACACTTCTTGACACTCACCGACACTTCGACACTTCCCGACACTCCAATACTCATTGCAAAGACTCAAAAAAGGTTCAAAAGTTACGTTGTGTTACATTTTGAGTTTCAACTATTAGATTCGTTAAATTACGATTATGATTTATTGAGTTTAATATAAACAATTGGGATATATTATGTTTCTTTGCAAAATTTATGGGTATTATAAGTTTAATTTTATTTTTTATTAAATTATTGAATATTAAATATAATATACACTACATAAATTAAAAATATTATATAATATCAAAACGTGTCCTAACGGGTCGAAATTCAACATTTTTTAGAATTAACGTAAAGTGTTGTGTCAAATCGTATCTCGTGTCCCGTGTCGACGTTAGTGCAACATAGTTCGTGACCATATGGTCTTCTTTTTTCCATTTTTTTTTTAATTTTGTTGGCTGCACTTATTGTTAAAACATGTATCACGTGTTTTCAATAAAAAATGTTATAAAATAGAAAGAAAGAAAAAGTAAACGTAGGGTCAAGATCAGTAGACAATAACTTATTAATTTTGTATCAAGGGAAAAGTGTCTATACTTTTAAATTACACAACTTACATTCTTTCACTCTCACAAAGAGGTGGGACCCACAACTTTATTTTTTTTTGTCAACTCTCTCTCTTCCTTTATCTATCTCTTTTTCTCTCTTAAAATGACACAACTTTTTTTTTTTTTTTTTGATAACAAAATGACACAACTTTACATCCTTCAAAATTATACACACTTTTCCCTTGTATCAATCATGCTCCAAATTCTAAAAGTCTATTAATCGATACAATATCCTGATCAAACTCTAGCTGAAATGCAAGATATTTATAATAATAATAAAAATTATCTATTAAAGATTATCAACTAATATCGGCTTAAGTTTAATAGATTATACATTAATTATTAGTTATTGATGTCACGTGTAACAACTCACGTGATTATTAAATTAAAATCATTAAATACAAGTGAGATAAATTATCCACAATAATAATATAAGACTTACCCTGTTATAAGTTGATATTTGCCTAACGATGTCGAAGGCTTGAAATAGAAAAAAAAAATTAAAATTAAAATCTAAAGAACTTTCTTTAACTATAAATAAATTTTTAGAATTTATTTTATAATCTAAAATTCAGCATGACGCCTCCAATTTATCAAATCACGCCATTTTGCTTATATAATCAAAAAAAGTTAATAAAAATTAGTCTAATATCTTACGAAAGAGTGTGAAGAATTCTTGTTACAGTGTTGATTTTGACGTGGTATATCCGAAATTTTCTCCTATATCTCGTTAATTGTCAATTATTCTTTCCAAAAGAATTAAAAAACAAAAAACAAACAAACAAAATACCAGGAATAACGTTAAATATTAAATGTTCCCAAAAGACGAATGAAGAACATGGTCTTGCTCTCATCATGACCTATATAAAAGCTTGATTTGGGTTTCGTATTAGCATAACAAAATCCACCGAGAGCCAGCAAAACTTCCCCAATATACTATTCACCTTCTTCTACCTTAATGGCTCTGCTCCAACTTTCATCACTCTCATTTGGCTTAACTAAAATGCTTCTTCCTCGGCAAAGAAAGTCTTCATCTCTAACAATAAGCAACTCCAATGTCCCTTGTCCAACTCAATGCATGGCATCAAACAAAGTCTCTAATAATAGTGAAACAGTACTTCGTCGATCTGCAAATTTCAAACCTTCAATTTGGACTTATGATTATATCCAATCATTGAGCAGTGAATATAAGGTATAGTTTAAAACCTCTTGTTTCATATTTGTCAATTTCTCAAACATATATGCAATTACAAGTCCTTATGTATAACTTATCTATGAAAAGTTTTCTGGCTAAAATCTTATTGTTAAATTAATGCAGGAAGAAATGCACGCAGAACAAAGGAGGGTCCTAAGGGAAGAAGTAAGGATAATGCTTTGCGAAGTGGAAAATGAGGTTGATCAACTTGAGCTTATTGATGTATTGCAAAGGCTTGGAGTGGATTATCATTTTGACAAAGAGATAAGGAACATATTGGACAATATTTACTATATTTACTATATGGATGCATCCAAGAGGAAGAAGAATTTACATGCCACAGCACTCGAGTTCAGACTCTTAAGACAACACGCTTATGATATATCTACAGGTTTCCATGATTTTACTTAGAAATATTAATATTGGTTGAGATAGTCATCACACGTTCTAATGTGTATGTGTCTGTTTGTCATATATATGTAATCTTAAGTATTGTTGTTGCAGATGTTTTTGATTGCTTTCATGATGAAACGGGTAATTTCAAGAAATGCAAGTATGATGATATTGAGGGAATGTTATCACTTTATGAAGCCTCATTTCATTCATTCGAAGATGAAACCATCTTGGATGAGGCACGTGATTTCACCTCAGAGATTCTCAAAGAATATTTGAACCAAAACAGAGTTAACCTCTTATCACTTCTGATCGGTCATGCTTTAGAGCTTCCAATACATTGGAGAATTCCAAGATGGGAGGCTCAATGGTTCATCCATGCATATGAAAGAAAGCCAAACACGAGTCCTGTTTTACTTCAGTTAGCTAAATTGGATTTCAACATTCTTCAAGCCATCTACCAAGACGATCTTAAGTATAAATCAAGGTGATGGCAGTCATTATATATTTTGAGCGATTTCAATTAATAGTTTCTTGATGAAAATTAAGAACATTAGTCTGTGAAAAATGCAGTCAAAAACTTTTTGGCTATTTTACGATTTTTATCCTATTCTCCCCCTCCTCTACCTCTATGAGGTGTTTTCACCTTTAATGTAAACCAAAACCGATTAGACATCTTATGAGTTTGGGAATATAATACTTTGTACTAATTAATGCTCGTTCAAAACTTTTGTTCTACTTTAAAGGTGGTGGAAAAGAACTAGCCTAGGAGAAAAGTTGACTTTTGCTCGGGATAGGGTGGTAGAGAATTTCATTTGGACCGTGGGATCAAATTTTAAGCCAGATTTTGGATATTCTAGAAAAGTCATAGCAAAGGGCAATGCTCTAGTAACCACAATTGATGATGTTTATGATGTGTACGGTACCTTGGAAGAATTAGAGCTCTTCACCGAAGCCATTGACAGGTTAGCACATTATCCTTGGTCCATAATGATTTTCTTCCCGCATTTTATATCGAATAATTATTAATATATTTTTTGTGATTCTAGATGGGATCTAAATGCCATAGATAATCTCCCAGACTACATGAAAATATGCTTCCATACACTCTACAACTTTGTCCATGAAATGGCTTTAGAAGTCCAAGAGAAGAATGGGTACAACATCACTCCATACTTAAAGAAAGCCGTAAGCAGTTAATTGTTTTATTATATTTGGATGCTTACAATATCGTATTATACTTACTACTTAATTAATAAAGAGTATTAATTGTCAACTCATTTTACTTATAAAATTTTCAGTGGGCAGATATATGTAAATCATATTTGATAGAGGCAAAGTGGTATCACAGTGGATATAAGCCAAGCTTTGGAGAATATATTGAGAATGGGTGGATTTCCATAAGTGCCCCTGTTATACTTGTTCATGCTTACTTTGCAATTCCACATTCATTCAGAAAGGATGACTTAGTTAATTTAGAAGAATATTCCGACATAATTCGCTCCTCAGGAATTATTATACGCCTTGCTAATGACCTGGGAACATATAAAGTACCATTTCAATCTTAGTTCTTTTCTAAACTTTCTTTTCTTTTTTTCTTTTTTTCACTAAATTTTTTCCTTCATTCATTTTCAGCGTGAAATTGAGACAGGCGATATTCCTAAGTCAATTCAATGCTACATGAATGAAAGTGGAGCTTCTGAAGGAGATGCACGTGAGTATGTAAAATCCATAATTTGTAAAACGTGGACGAAGATGAATGAAGAGGCTCGGAGTTCTTCTTTCTCTAGAAGTTTCATAGAGACAGCTATAAACCTTACAAGAATGGCACTGTGGATGTACCAGCATGGAGATGGCGTCTCTATTCAAGATTCTGAAATCAAGAGTCGCATATTATCATTACTAATCCAACCCATTCCTGTTGCATACACAAAGAAATAGTTCAATCTCCTGGAAATTTCCGAGTTGTTTTAATATAAAGTATAATATTTGTCTTTGTTTTAGTAAACTATAATCAAACATAATAAAATGAAATAAAAAGGTTTGAATGAAATTTCTAGATCAAAATCAATTAATATAAACATGTTTACAATTAATTTGAGCATGTGAAAATGAGAGCATGCGTTCAATCTTCTTGAGTATAATTTTAGTAGGAATTTAAAGTAAGTTTTAATCTTAACTCTCGATCTCCGAACTCCAAATTAGTCTATAAAAAATCTATAAGATTACTGGGGTAGACTCCCAAAAAAAACATGTTTGAATAAGTATGTGACGTAATTTTTATTTTTCTTCTTTATCGCAACTATGGAGTAAAGTATGTCATTATATTTATATATTTTTAGGTCCATTTGGTTGAAATGATAGAAGGCGGTAATGATAGAATATGCTATTGCTCTAGTCCATTAATTGGTTGGTGAGCCAACATGATATAATAAGTTTATCCCCCAGGTCCTCATAAGCGCTACCATGTGGGTGGATTTCGGTTAAGATTAATACAGTAGGATATGAAACTCTTATTTTGAAAGTAGGTATTTGCCTCCTTGAAACATCCCTCAAGACATGAGATTCAATCTTACCACTAACCTTTGTCGCTATCATATCGCAAAAACCCCAATACCTCCACTACGGCCAACCACAACCATCACCATTGATCAACCTCCATCGCCACCGAATACATGGATTGGGCCTTATTTCTCAATGATCCTTTTTTGTTATGTAGTAGAGTTCGATATTTTTTTTTAAAGTTTTGCTGCGATTGCATTAATGATGTCGCAAAACTTCGTACCTAAACATTTCAAAAATTTTGATGTGTCGTGTTTGACATTTTTCAATATTCTCTGACACTCCAACACGCATTGTAGAAACTCAAAAAAAAGATTTAAAGGTAGCGTTGCGTTGCATTTTTAGTTCCAACTATTAGATTCGTTGGATTACGATTACCATTTTATTGAGTTAAATATAAATATTTGGGATATTTTATGTTTCTTTGCAAAATTGATAGGTATTATAAGTTTAGTTTCATTTTTTGTTAAATTATTAAATATTAGATATAATATATTCTATATAAATTAAAAATATTATTTAATATCAAAACGTTTCCTAACTGTAAAGAACATTGGGATACACCACCCCAAAAACTAGCTCAAAGGGTGAGAGTGTTCAAGGCCTTATAAATTCCACATTAGTTGCTCATACAACCAATGTGGGACTATATATCTCAACACGCCCCCTCACGCAAGAGCCCTTTGGACTAGAAGCGTGGATATTGCACTTTTGTGCTTTTTTATTTTAATTCCACTTTAAAGTGAGGGGCGGTGAGGATCGAACTTGTGACCTTGTAGTCACTCAAGCTTTGATACCATGTAAAGAACCTTGGGATATACCACCCCAAAAGCTAGCTCAAAGGATGGGAGTGCCCAAGGCCTTATAAACTCCCTATTAGTTGCTCATACAACCAATGTTGGACTATATATCTCAACACTAACGTTTCGAAATCTAATATTTTTTAGAATTAACGTGTTGGAGTGTCGTGTCATGCCGTGTCATGTGTCGGTATCGGTGCTACATAGCCTAAAATCGCTTTTTTTAGTGACAATATAAATCAAGGCAGGTAAAAAAATTTAAAAAAATAAAATTTAAATAATAAATTATGACATTTATGTTGTTTTCAAATATTTTAGCAACTAATACAACCAGTTGCATACAAACATGGGGCAGTGAGGATCGAACTTGTGACCTTGTAGTCACTCAAGCTCTGATACCATGTAAAGAACCTTGGGATATACCACCCCAAAAGCTAGCACAAAGGGTGGGAGTGCCCAAGGCCTTATAAACTCCACATTAGTTGCTCATACAACTAATGTGGGACTATATATCTCAACACTAATGTAAGAACCTGCACCGTTAATTAAGGAAGTTAATTAATTAATTTTGAGAAATTAGGAAATAATTCCATAATTGACCCTAATAATTATTATGAGGCTTAGATAATTATAGTAAGTGAGTAAGAATGCTGAAAGTCGCTTTTCGGACGAAAAGTGGAGATACCGGTTCTGTTACTTAGTATAAATGTGTACCGATGAAGTATCCCGGAAATACGAAAAGTGTGTATATGTCACTAGAATAATATATAGGACTTGTAAAACAAGTTTCAAGTTAAAATAATGAGAACTGGTGCCAGAACTGATACTGGCTAGGGAAAAGCGCGTACCGAAAAGGTGCTGCGAAAAAATAAAATAAAAATATGATAAATATTGTAAAATTGAGTAGGTTCAGAATCCTAAGTTTGAGATTAAAATGCTAAGCGTAGCAATTAATCTTTATACTGTGTGTTTAATTCTTAAGTGACTATATATACTACATTTGGCACTAAACCCTAGGCCACTATCCTACGTGAGTCTTTCAGTGGCTGGTCAATTGTGCTCAACTCCATTGTTTCTCTTCTCCTTTGTGTGAGCTTTGAGGCCTCATTCTTCATGAAATCTCCACCTAAACACTTGTGGTGAGTGAGAGTGAGCATTGGGAGGGTGTTGGTGACCTTGTTTCTGGGTTCGAGGGTCAGTTTCTGATAGAGTGAGGTGCTGAATTTGAGTTTGGAGAGGGTGTGAACCTTGTGTTTGGTTTTGTGGTGCCAAGGAATGACCTTTGTGAAGAAAGAACTCATCTTTGTGTGCCATTTTCATGCACCTTCAAAGTTAGAGCCTTAGGGGTTGTTGGTGAGCTCCAAGAGCACTCTTTTCTATGTTTTAAAGGTTGGGTAAGTGCTACCAACCATTGATCATGAGTTTTAATTGATAAAAAAGGTGTCTTGACATGTTTAAGGGGTTAAATGTAAGAACCCGCACCGTTAATTAAGGAAATTAATTAATTAATTATGCAAAATTAGGAAATGAATTCATAATTGACCCTAATAATTATTAAGAGGCTTTAATAATTATGATAAGTGATTAAGAATGCTGAAAGTCGCTTTTCGGAAGAAAAGTGCAGATACCGGTTTTGCTAGTCGGTATAAATGCGTACCGAAAAAGTATCCCGGAAAATAATAATAAGTGCATGATAATTACTAGAATAATATGTAGGACTTGTAAAACGAATTTCAACTCAAAATAATGAGAACTGGTGCCAGAAACTGATACTGGCTATCAAAAGCGCATACCGGAAAGGTGCTCAGAAAATTTTATAAAAATATGATAATTCTTGTAAAATTGAGTAGGTTAAGAATCCAAAGTTTGGGATTAAAATTCTAAGCGTAGCAATTAAAGTTGATATTGTGTGTTTATTGAGTAAGTGGCTATAAATACACTGTTGAAGGGCACAAAACCCTAGAAAACAGACTTCTATGCGTGGATACCTTGGAGGCTGATCAGTTTGCATTGTTTTGGTGCTCTTTTCCCTCTTGTATGAGCCTTGTGACCTTCTACCTTCTTGGTACCTCTTCCTAAACACTTGGTCTTGAGAGTGTAAGCCTTGTGAGCTGAAAAAAGTCACCTTTCTGAGTTAGAAAACCTGTGTAAGGGGGTTTGAGCTTCTGACTTTGGTTCGTTTGTTGGTGGGAGCTTGGAGTTGGTATTTTTGAGCTTCAAGGTGTTACCTTTGGGAAGAAAGAACACATCTTGTTGGTCCATTTTCGTGTCCTTGAGTGTGCTGGGCTGTGGGAGCTTCAAGTGAGCTCCAAGAGCATCTCCCTTTGCTGTTTCAAGCTTGTGGTATGGTCATCACCCTTGAACTTGAGTTTTTATGCTTAAAAGGGGAACCTTGATGCATGTATGGGCTTAAGATGATAACCTAACATGGGGTAATGTCAAACACACCTAGAAATGCATGTTTAGGTTTCTGTAATCGGTAAAAATGGTACCTTTGAAGGATATCTTCGCGAAATGCAGAAACTGTATTCTGTCGCAAAATATCTGGATATTTGCCCGTGAAATATCCGGATATTGATATCCGGATATGGATATCCGGATATGGGGATCTGGATATCCGGATATTGATATCCGGATATTGCGAGAGATATATCTAGATATTGGATATCCGGATATGCCCCGAGGAATATCTGGATATTCTGGGATTTCGAAGAACAGTAGCAGTGTTGTGAGGACAGTAGGCTATTGGGGGTTTGTGGACCCTAGAGTGATGAAGTTGAACTTCTATAAGTAATGAACTAAGTCAGAATGATGTGATTTAAGGGCTTATGGCTTTGTTGGAAGCCTTAAGACGTAAATCGTAAAAGGAGAACGTAGTCTTTATGTTAATGCTTTTGAGCTAAGTATGTTGATATACTTGCTGGTCCTAAATCAGATTGTGATCTGCTGTGTGTTGGACTTGAGCTGTGAGGACTCTTGGCATTGGATAGTGAGCTTGCAAGGTAAGCTTTCGTGTCCTCGGTTTAGCCATGTGGTCGTTCCACCATGTCCCATGGGGGTATGGTTATATGCATGTTGTGTTACATGTTTTTGATGTTTTGGAAATGCTATTGAGTTGTTATATGCTAGTGCCTTTATGATATACATGTGGTGTTCCACCTATACGGTAAGCCTGAGTATGTGGTACATACAAGATGGTGAGGCTGTGGGTGAGGTGCAAGCGGTGTTCCTTGTACTACGTGTGGGTAATAGACGTATTCCTGCATTTCTCTGGCCAGTAGAATAGTGATAAACACACATGGCATGAATATTTGTTGCACTGCATAGTTTTGGAACTGATATTGATATAAATGCTTTTAGAACTTATATTGCACATGTAAATGAGCTTGGGGTGGAAGATCCTTGAGGACCCCTTGTCTTACTGAGATTTCTTGTTTAGAGATCTCACCCCACGTTTGGCGAATGCTTATTTCAGGTTCGGGTAATGTTGAGACCTCAGGCGGCAGGAGGCCGGAGCTGAGTTAGATATTGATGATATTATATGCTGACTTGTTGGATGCTGGATATGCATGCTGCTTT